ACGTGCGTTTCTTCTGTTTATTGGGTAATCAGTCACTGCTCCAGCAGCCCTTGGACGACTGGACTCACAAGATCTCACCACTTCGATCGCTGCCCCCCTGCTCAGCTGCTACCAACGCTGCCGCAGAGGTCTAGACTCTAGGAAGTGGGCTTGCCCACTCCCCATCCCGCCCAATCCCAAGACGGTTCAGAGCCGCCTGGGCGCGGAGCTTCGGCGCCTCCTGGCGGTTAACGGGTGCGGGACGCCCCCTCTGTGTTTACAGAGCCTGGAGCTGTGCGAGGGGTTCCACGAATATTCGACGCACGAAAGCTGGGGTCCGTCCGACATTTCCCCAATTGCTCGGAAGGCGGCGCCAAGCCTGTTCGCCTCTTCTGGAAGGATGTACCAGGAGGGTGCGGGGAAGAGCGGGGTGAGGGTGGAGGTGGGAGCCGGACAAAACAGACAGGGTGGGAGAAAGGTGGGTTTGTTGGGGAATGTGTTAGGGTGTGGGTGAAAGCAATAAAACCCAGATAGCATCCTTGGTGAGATAATGCGCGCGTGCGTGTGTGTGTGTGTGTGTGTGTGTGTGTGTGTATGTTTGGGTTTATTTGCAGATGCTGGATAAAAGATGATATATCGTCACGGTTTGGAGTGTCACTGCGCCTGGCCTCTCAGGAAGCCACAAGTGCATATTTCCTGAAATATCGCCCAACACAATATCTAATACACATGCCACTTAAGCATGGAGAAGAAAACTCGACATTGGCACAAGTTCCCAGCGGCCTTCGCGGTTCTGGGAGGCGCCACTCAAGCCCCAACAGGGTTGGGTGTTCCTTAAAGCTCCCCCTCCCTGACTTTTGCCTTCTGTCCTAGCAGTCACTCAGAGATGGACCTTAATGCATACGTCTTAGCGAAGGGTGCTTATGCTTGGTAAATATTGAATTAGCTTTTCAATGACCAGCCTCTTGAAAAAGCAGGAGAAATCTACACCAGGTCTCAATTAAGCCCAATAGTCAATAGGTATGGAAAATCAGTTATTTCCTGAGCTGCGTGAGGGTGAGGGTTCCCACTTGTATCAAGTTTATTGGATTCTACAAAATAGGATAGCAGGACAAACTTGAGGGGTGGGGAGGCGAGTATGGTGAGCAAAATGCTTAAGATTTCGCTGGAATTTCCACCACCTGGATTGCTTTCATTAAGGACTTTGGCCAAGGGGGGTGTTTTTACTTATGAAGTGATCCTTTCAAAACAAAAATGAAAGCACGCATCAGTAGCTTATTTGCGGCTGCTTGCGGAAGCCCTGAGGCTGTCGTGCGTTGAGTTGGGCTGCTAAACTGAAGGTCAACAGTTCAAACCCACCAACCCCTCTGAGGGCCAAAGATGAGACTTGCTGCTCCTGTAAATGTGTATAGCCTCCACACTCAAAGAGGCAGTTCTACTCAGGTATGATTCAAACTACCATTCACTAATCTGACGCCCCCACTCCACCCCCAGCTCCCAGATGAGGACCACTTAAAACAAAACAGAACTCATTGCCATCAATGGATTCTGAATCATAACTAGGTGAATTGCCCCTTTGGGTTTCTGAAACTTTAAATCTTGGTAGTATACAGAGTCATCTTTCTCACCGCTGACTCTGTAGTTAGCAGCTCAATTTGTCGCCCACTATGCATTCTCCTGCTTCCCAAACACCCTGCCCTTGAGTGGATGAAGCAAAAAGGGCAATTTCTTGGAAGCTCCTAAGAGATGACCTCTTACAGGATTTTGCAAATTAAATGACCGAAGTAGGAGACATTGAAGAATTAAAGAGAAGGTTCCCCTTCCCTCAGCGTGGGGACCGGCAGACCTTTGAAGGAGTTTCAGAACTGGGTTCCTATTTCATAGAGAAGATAATGCAATCACCACAAGTAAAACGGATGTAAAGAACTTCTCTTCAGTGCTGGCATCGGAACCTAGTGGCCAGGCCAGGTGAGCATGACTTCAGAACTGGCTGTGGCAGAATTGGACCTGGGCCCTGGCACAAACCCTCCGGAAGCCTCTTGGAGCCGTTTCTGACTTGTGCTTCAATGTACCGGGATATCCCGCCCCCCAGGCCCCCAAAAGATGGCTGGATTTCTTGGACCACCAAGTCCAAGGAAAACCAAGGTTCTGGACACCCTGGGCCCAGTCCAAAGCCTGAGCATGATCAGGTGAGAGAAGTCCAGTAGCCAGTGCTGACATAGAGAAGGGAATGAAGTCCACAAAGTGCACGCACCAAATCTAAGCCCTAAGGAGGTATATATCCCAAATCCAGCGTTGACCCGGCTGACCATCGCCCCAAATATCAGAACTAGTGTTGGTAGGAGAGGATGAGAGAGAAAGAAAAAGAGAGAGTAGGGGAAAGAAAAAGAGAGAGTGGGAGAAAGGAGAGAGAGAGAGAGAGAGACCGAGACCCAGTGTGTCGTGGGGGCAAGTGCCTTCTGAAGCCACCAAACAGGGGTGGCTTTTTCTCTGTCCTCCAGCCTCCCCCAATAGATATAGCACGAATTTTTAATGCGTCTTCCTTTCACAGACAACAATACAGGGTTTGAAAGCCGAACACAATTTGGGTTTTGTGCGGGTCCCTCCTCGCGCTCCCTTGGCCCAGCTGGCCATATGGAATCCAGCATGGAGCCTGTGGATGACAAAGAGACCCACTGACAGGCCCAACAAAACCCCAAGGAGACTTCTGCCTGACTCCGGGATTCACTGCCTGCGATAAGCGGGCTGAATGGTGGTCAGGCGGGGGGAAGGGAGAGGGGATGTAACAAGCCCCTTCTCCTCTTCCCCTCTTCCAGTCCCCAGCGAGCCTTTCTCTGTTCCTTCTTAATATGCACGCCTCTAACATCCCTTGGGCCCAGCACTCCCATTGTGCGGTTTTGTGCGGCCCCGCTGTAGATTGGGCGAAGATAGACTGCTGAAGCTGCCCCCGCGCCGGGTGCGCTCCCAAGGCTCTGGGGTTAGGGCCACACAGGGCTTTGTAGGCACTTTTATTGACTCCTGGGGACCCAAAGACACAGAGAAGCGGGCGCCAGCTCTCTTCTTAGCTTCTTACCCCGTGAGAGAACATAACATCCAGACTGCAGGACTAGGGGCTGGCCACCGCCATAAAAACGTGCCTCCTCCGCGTCTATGGGAAATTTAGGAGGGTAGACCTCCTTGTTGCTGCCTTCTTCCTTTCTGGAGCCTTGGGGGGCCGCTGCAAACATTTTTGGGCGCCTGGAGCCTGGTACAGTCAAAGTCAATCAGGGGTAATTTCTGACAACCCGCTTACGCATCCCCCAGGGTAATGTCCTGTGGTCAGTACCAGAACAAGCCCGGCCTTTGATTACTACTGCACAACTAACAATTTGGGGGAGATTTCACTGTCCTTTAAACACAGGAAGAAAAACTCCTGAATGTTACCAAGCTACTGTGGAGAATAAAGGGTGCCTTTTTTAGCACTTGGGGAAACTGTGCCTACCACCCATGCTGCACCTAGAGAACCTAGAAAAAGACCACGGTCGAGGTTCCGGAAAAACCCCCGCGCCTCAGTACTCCAAAGACAAGTGCGTGACGCGGGAATACAGCCTAATCACGTCCTGGAAGTGTTGCCTTGAGTGCTATTGACTCCCAGATTTGGCCACACGGATGTTTGCTTTAGATATTGAATTAAATCATCATATTAGAAGAAGCAAGAAAGTCTGCTGGGACTGCTCCCTGGCACAGCCTTCTTGCCCTCCCCCCCTCCCCGCTCCACACCCCCATTTCCACCGCCCACTAAAGGTGAAACTCTGGAGACAAAGTTTCCCAAAGAGAGTAACTTCCAATCCTAAGGAGTCCCATAGAAGAATCCGGGTGTTTTGAGAAATCCGTGAAGCGAAAGAGAAAGAGAGGAAGTCCGGCTCACCGCCCGCCTCCCCCCCAGCCCCTGCTGTCAGCCGGTCTCCAGAGAGACGCTCCCGGGTGGGCCAAGTGTGCGCCAGCATCCCCTGAGGGACTCTCCGTGCAGTGCGGAGCTCAGAACGCAATAGGCTCCCTACTGGCAAGACCGCCCACCTGTGAGAGAGTCAACCTGCTGGTCCACTTCCGCAACCTCCTCTGTCCCCCATCCCCGGTCAAGGCCATCCCCACTCCACGCCCTACCTCTTCAATTTTGAACAGCCCTGTGCGACCAAATGTTAGGAGACGCGGCGCCAGATCCAGCAGGGAGTGAGCAGGCTGGATACCCAGAAAGGAGGGGCCGAAGTGTGTGGTGTATGTGTATATGCGCG